AGGTTGATGAGACAGGTGTGGAAGTTAAGGACATAGAATTGGTCATGTCACAAGCAAATGTGTCAAGAGCAAAGGCAGTCCGAGCTCTGAAGAACAACAGTAATGATATTGTAAATGCTATTATGGAACTAACAATGTAACCATCAAAAAAATGAGGACTTTTTTGGTGTTTCAAAAGAGTAAACTGCAGCTTGGTTTGAAATTTGTACTGTTTCTATCATTAATAAAGTTATGGCTTCTTGTTGGATGAATTAATTGGTTGTTTGGTTTCTTCCCACAAAAAAAAAAAAAAAAACTGAAGAGTCTAGTAAATTATTAATCACCTAAGACCTCCTTCATTTGAAAAGATTTGAATAGGCCAGGCGCTGAGCAGTTTCTTAGCCCTCTCAGCCAGTAATCCTAGCACTCTGGGAGGCCGAGGTGGGTGGACTGCCTGAGTTCACAGGTTCAAGACCAGCCTGCGCCAATGCGAGACACCTCCCTCTAGTCTCTGAAAATATAGCCAGGCATTGTGGTGGGCACCTGTAGTCCCAGCTACTTGGGAGGCTGAGGCAAGAGAATTGCTTGAGCCTAAGGTTGCTGTGAGCTGTGATGCCACAGTTCTACTGAGAGCAACAAAATGAAACTCTTAGCACAAAAAAAAGATTGAGTGCCACAAATTCCCCACTTAATGTGTCAAACTTTGCACCTGTTGTAAGAAGTTACACTGGGTTGTTAGGCCCTTGTCTTGAGAGAATATAGTTTTAGTGTAAAGTTCATTTCCACTTTTGCCACTTGTTAATCATTAGGAGATCCTGATTCTTCTGTATCATATCAGCCTCTTTGAACTACAGTCTTCCTGAACACATATATATTGGGGCTTATCTGGCCTCTGTGAGTTCACATTGGTTACATCTCCACAAGGTCTTAGTACAGGATTGGAGAAAATGGATGTGAATGAAAAGGCTGCACTTTGTAGATGAAAAGCTACCTCATGAAGGGGGAAGGTTGGCTATATAAACTTACTACAGACAGAATATTAATCTACAAAGTAATCTAGGTAGCCATGATTATGCTAGAAAAATAAACTAAAACGAAGACTGACAGGCAGACAATATAAGGAGAGTTAACTCCTAAGTATAAATTACTATATGAATCCCAAGAAAGTTTCTGAGTTTGGATTGTCAAAATATTTTGAGAGACGGCTTGGTTCCTGTAGCTCAAGAGGGTAAGGCACCATCCACGCACACCAGAGCTGGCAGGTTTGAATCCAGCCCAGGCCTGCTAACCAATGACAACTACAGGGTGGTGCCTGTGGCTCAATGGGTGCCAACCCCAGCCAAACTACAACAAAAAATAGCCATGCGCTATGGTGGGCACCTGTAGTCCCAGCTGAGTATTATACACCTAGAAAGCCAATATTTGAGTTATTCTATAGTAAAAATAGGGCATAAAAGGAAAAAACGAATGAGTTTGTTTGGGGGTTTGTGTTTTTTGTTTTTCTTTGAGATAAGTCTCTGTAGAGTGCAATGGCTTCAGCCTAACTCAGCAACAAACTCCTGGGTGTAGGGCAGTGCCTGTGGCTCAAAGGAGTAGGACACGGCCCCATATGCCAGAGGTGGTGGGTTCAAACCCAGCCCCGGCCAAAAACTGCAAAAAAAAAATTCCTGGGTTCAAACTATCCTGCCTTGGCCTCCTAAGTACCTGGGACTGCAGGTGTCCAGCATGACACCTGACTAATTCTGTTCTTAGTAGAGATGAGAATCTTACTCAGGATGATCTGGGAAATTCTGAGCTCAAGTGATCCTGCCTCAGCCTCTCAGAGTGCTAGGATTACAAGTGTGAGCCATCACACCCAGCCCACCAACACTTTTTTCAAATTGGGTTGTTTCAATTTTGACTTGTAATAATTTGTTTTGTTTTGTTTTTTTAATAAGAGACTTTGTGTTTTTTTTGTTTTTAAATTTTATTTCTTTATTTATTTTTGTGGTTTTTGGCCAGGGCTGGGTTTGAACCTGCCACCTCCGGCATATGGGGCCAGTACCCTACTCCTTTGAGCCACAGGAGCCACCCCTGTAATAATTTGTTAATATATTCTAGATACTAGACTTTATCACATACATGATTTGCAAATATTTTCTTTTGTGAGTTGTCTTCCCACTTTTCTTGGTAGCATTTTTTGAAGCACTAGAATTTTTAGTTTTATTGAAGTCCAATTTATCTTTTTTTTCTTTTGGTTGCTTAAACATTTGGTGCAAAGTCTAAGAAATTGTTGCCTAGTCCTATGTCACACAGACATTTATAATCTGAGGGTTTTGTAATTTACGCTATTTAATCTTTAATCTTTGGCCTGTTTAAAAGTATGTTTTTGTACATAGTTTAAGGTAGAGATCCAACCTCATTCTTTTTTTTTTTT